TCTGCTCCGCCTCCTCCCCGAGCACGCCGCCCCCGCTCTAATTCTCCTCCCCTCCCAGGCTTGCGGCGCCAAACAGCTGATTGGCAGCACAAGCCTGGGAGGTGGGAGAAGTGGAGCGGCGACTGCGTGGCAGCCCAGCCCAGGAATGCTATAAAAAAAAATTGGGGGCACTGCTTTTTGGCGCCCCCAAATCTTGGCGCCCTAGGCAACCGCCTAGTTTGCCTAAATGGTAGCACCAGCCCTGTCTGAACTACACTCCTGAGCCCCCTGAAGTGGCCCCCACACAATCTCCCAGTGGCCATAGTCCTGGTTAAACAGAACCTTTCCCTCTGCGGGGACAGCTGTGCTGCTGCTCTCACACAAAGGGGGCAGGGCCCAAGGTGCACAGGACATTGTAGCAGGACATATGGACCACAGATGCTCTATGTGTACTTGGTCTGTAACCCAGCAGAGCTGAGACAACTGGAGGGGGCTGTGTCTCCTTTCAAAAGGGCCTCATGCCTTGGTCTCTGCCCCATGCGGATATCACGCTATCAAACCCCCAATTCAGACAGTGCCCAGTGAACTCTCTGATCCCCACCATCAGTCTCATATTCCCAGCCACCCACACGCAACACATATACCTTCCCTGCCCCACACCCCTACTATCTGCAAGAAGGTGATGCTCACCTCCAATTTATCTGGCGAATCTCTACTCAAATATTGTTTGCTCTCTGGTTTAAGGATGAGCACTTACTCTCTGAAGCATCAAGCTGCAATGCTCAAGTTGCGATAGAGTCAGATAAGTCACATGGCCTTATTTCTATGCCTGATTGGGCAAGTAAAGACCCACTTCTGGCATGAATAATCACATGGGAGAATTTAAAACCTGGTTTCCCCAAATAGTCGTAGTTGATTAAGGGCTTGTCGACATAGGGAAAGAGACCGGAACAGCTATTGCTGAATGATTTTGAAAGTAGATTAAGCTAAACCACAAAAAGTCACTCTTGATATGGTATAAGAACATCCACACAAGGAATTATTGTGGAATAGCTCTTGTGCTTTACATTCATACCCTAGCTTATTTTGGAATAACTTCCCTGCATAGATAAGCCCTTAGGAAGTTGCTTCTAAGTTTCCCGTTACAGGTGATCAATCTGCTTGAGGGGAAAAGTGACAATGAACATGTTTCAAAAGTCACGGCTTGTTCACTGAAGTGGTTCTGCAGTATTCCGCCAGGGATGAGATCCTCAACTGGGGGGCATTAGCCTTTGGGGAATAATGCAGCACAGGTGCATTATAAAGGGAGCTAATTGCCTAGCAGAGAGGGCACTGCGACCGGCGTTCAATTAATAGAATCACAGAACCACAGGGTGAGAAGAGATCACAAGGGTCATCTAATCTCACCCACTGCCAAGATGCAGGATTTGCTGTGTGTAAATTATCCAAGAGAGGTGGCTCTCCAGTCTGCTTTTGAAAACCTCCAGTGAAGAAGTTTCCACAACCTCCCCGAGGCATCTGTTCAATTGACCTATTGTTCTTACAGTTGGGAAGTTTTTCCTGAGATTTAATCTACATTTGCTATGCTGTAGTTTGATCCCACTGCCTCTTGTCCTGCCATCTGTGGCAAGAGAGAACAACTTTTCTCCATCTTTTTTATGGCAGCCTTTCAAGTATTTGAAGACGGCTG